ATTTAGTAGAGCTAATCAGAACCAATCAGGTCCACGGGAAATCTCAGAACCGGTTTTCATTGGGTATAACCAACACGAAGATCATCAGTAGTGCGCTTTTCCAATGCAAAACCGAGTATAAAGTCTCTACTAAGCTGATTCGGACAGCAAACAGACAAGCTTTTTCAGGCAGCTCTCCTACGGTGACAAAATATATCAATCGGGAGCATTTCCTACGTGGGTAGGTGTATTTTTACAACGGGATAGCTTATTTTAGAGACGTTGCATTCTAAAGTCAAGGTATTCTACATATCTACTTAACTGGCCTTTTACCTTAAAGAAAAATAAAATGGAGTAAAGCTGATTTTGGGCCGATAGGAATTTATATCCAGACTCCTACCTGGGATTGTAATGAGGTCAGAATCCTGATCTTATTAATCTCGATGTGCACGTGTAAGTATTAGTATTTCTGCAAATGGCTGTACTTGAAGGGGTCTGGAACAGGGCTCGGTAAATTTCAATAACCGTAATAATAACTGCAATAACTAGTTGACCCCCAATCCCCAATTTCATCCAATAAAACTTATACTACCTGTTTCTAAAAAAAACTATACAATTGGTGGTTGGTTTTCGTGGGGGCGTGTGCAATTCGCTACAGGAGAGCATTGCCATTCCGCAATTTGCCGAAACCAGAACAAGACCATTCTTCTACGACGCTCTCCACATGTCTTCAATCGCCCCGAGATCCCTTGCTGCAGCCCTCTTTGGCTCCGACGGCGATGAGTACCATCAGGATCGAATCTGTTTCTTTCGTCGGAAGCAAGTTCGTGGGACTGGGTGCACGAACCTGGTGGAACACCTCGTCCGGTGTCATGCCAACACCTACGAGGACGACAAGAAGGCAACCTCGATACTTTCGTGAAGGGCGATGAATTCTCCAGGACAATTTATCACTGGTTGGACTGGATCATCATGGATAACCGCAAACTAAGCATGTGCGAAAAGGTGAAGACGCGGAAGTACACTCGTTTGAACCGAGTAAGCACGAAGGCGCTGATGAAGAGCATGTTCGGACTGGAAAGCGTCGTCCAAGGACGAATCAAGTTGCTGCTGCGTGGCAAGAAAGTCGGCTTTGCCATAGATGCATGGACTGAGGAAGGCATGCATTTCGTGGCAGTCATCGGTGTAACTGGGGCCGACAAGTATCTGTTGTGCTTTTCGACTCTGACGGGCGAGTCGGACATGGGGTCAGACGTGATTATCGAGTTGCTTGACGACGTGTTAGACACGTACGAAATTCATGCCTCTCAGCTCTGCTTCTACGTGATCGATCACGCGTCCGTAAATGTAGCAATTGCAAACAAGACACTGGTTCCAATGATAGGGCGTGCTAGCCACCGATTCAACTTGGCCGTCCAAGCCCTCATGCGCGAGGACGACGATATATTGGATAAAGTCCATGCGCTCATGGTCAAGTTGAACACGATCAAGAACCGGCATCATCTCCGCGAGGCAGACGCCCTCATGCCTGTCTACCGTAATACAGCACGCTGGAGCAGCACGTTCTCCATGATCGACCGCTATTTTCGCATCTATTCGAAGTTGGACCGCATCGACGACCAATTGGCGGGCTTCATTCCCACCCCACGAGAGAATGTCCGGTTGAAGGCTCTATATGAAGACCTCAAGAACTTGGGGAGTGTGAACAAGAAGCTACAAACGACGATGGTGTCTCTGCTTGATGTGCGGGCTCTGTTTGACCATGTCATCAAGCATTACCCTGGTACGGACCTGTATCTGTCACCTACGGCCTCGTTGGTCAAGTTTCCCGACTTCGAGAACGGTATCGTTAAGCTTATGGCTGGCAAAGAGAATACCCTGACGAGAGGGGAACGAGCAGCTGTAGTAAAGCTCCAACAGACCACCGATACTGTGGCGACGAATTCGCAAGAGGAAGGCGGAGATGGCCATCAATCCTTGCCGAGGTTGCGTTAAGCCAGGAGAAAGTGACTTCATCTAGAGAGGACTTGAAGTGAATCCCACCCATATCTAATGACGTGGAGAGGCTGTTCTCTCGTGTAGGAATAGTGTTCTCACGTCTGCGCCGAAGCCTCATCCCAATGACGTTGGAGACGATACTCTTTTTGCAGTTCAATAGGAACTTGTGGGATGCAAGTGCGGTTGCGGAGGCGATTGATCTCGGAAAGAAAAAAAACGCGAACTGACATGCTCAGGTGTAGAAACTTTGACTGTGATTATGGGTAACGGTTTTCTACTGTTAGTAGTTTTAGTCAGTATTTTTTTACCCTTTCGCGAGCCACTTTAGTGAACTATAGTATACAAATCTAGGATAGTCAGTATCAAAAGGAGGCATTTTGCCTCCTTTAAGGCGAGTAATGGACCACCTTCAAATGTGGGGCGCGTCGGGAGGATTCTCCAGGTAACCCCCCCCCCCCCCTCATTCCAATGCGCGTATCCGTTTTGGCTAGATCCCAGGTTTTCTTTTTTATGAAGTGCGAGGCGGCGATGTGACGTACGCATCCTTCTATCGTGGATAACAAATTGACAAAAACACCATTTTTAATTGGCATGGAATCCGCCTAGCAATCAATATCATATTGCGTTTTACCAAGCCCTGGTCTGGAAGATAGTTATCGCTTAAACCAGCTTTAGTAAGTGATCGAACTTCGTCCCCTGGTCTCCAGTATTTCATTGCTTCTCGTATTCCAGGATCAAGACGCGCCTCTGTTAGTGTCTGTTTCTGTAAAGGTCACAGCCCTGTCCAAAGCTAAAATTAAATGGCGCCACGAATTTGCTTGTGCAGCAGCGGCGATCTCCTTCCGTCATTGTTCTTCTGAGGCGATCTCCCTCACACATGGTTGCTACTGACGAGCGAACTCGGACAACTAGCTGGGGCGCACAGTATTATGCAGAGCAAAAGCGACAAAGCAGCTCGCGCAACTGGCGATCGATCCTCCATCCTTCGGTGTTACTAGCCGTATGTGGAGTTGTTGGACGCTGCGTCATCGCGCCGTTGGTGGTGCTCGTTGTTTGTATCACTACCGGCTACTTCACCAGCGCCACATTCTTCATTGACGCCAAACACAGCTACTTCGCCTACAGCCAATTGGATCCAATCATGCGAGGTGGTTGCCACGATTGCCTCTCTTCTTGTCGAAAGGTGTTCATCCAGCTCAGCGTTTTCGGAAGTGACGCTATAATCAGTATGCCGGTTTACGAGAACTCTCAAGTAGTGGCAAACGCTGATGCAGCGGCCGGAGACTATAGCAAGTTAACCCCCGAAGAAATAGCGCTCGCAGATAAGCTGGATAATGATGGAGCCGTCTGTTCTGTCGCTATTGGGGCTGTGAACGACTGGGGGACTCCAAACGTTGCGATTGGTAGCACTGCTGAAGGGATATTAAGCGTAGTTAACACGCTGAATTTGTCATTAGCACCACAGATGAAACGTGAACTGGAGGTGGCTGTTGATCAAAAGGAGCAGTGTGAATCGCGTTGGAATCTCGGTGTGGTGTTACGTCTCCACAGATTCCAGACGGTCAAAAACAGTGCAGATTATTCCTCCATCTCAGTTGCCGACTTCAACACGTATCCGGATTATGCTGACTGTCGTCCAGATATTCCGAACCAGGGGGTTGTAGGCATGAAACTAGCCTTTGCAACTAACGGAGAAGACCTCCTATCAGTGGTTCCAGATCGACTTAAGCAGTTTCCGTACGAGATCGAGAGCAGTAGTCTACCTACAATTTCGCGATACATTAAGACGGTACCAACAATTCACGGATTGACGACGGTCACGCAGCCTCTACTGCGATCATATTTCTCCGGTTGTCGAGTTCGTGTCGTGAATACTACTGGAGTGTACGTCGAGGAAGGGTGCACGTTAATA